GGATGAGTTGAGACTTGCAATTATGGGAGATGAGTTAATGGCTAAAGAAGTTGATAACATTTGGATTAATAACTACGTAGAATACCATAAGGCTTACTCACGTAAATTAAAGGGTTATAGAATTAATTATAATGATATTTGTAAACCGTTTAATTCTGATAGAGTATATGATGAGGTTGAGAAAAAATTAGGTTATGATAGACAACAAGATTATCAAAATAGAAATTATCAATACAATAGAAATTATAATGATCAAAATAGAGGATATCAAAATAAAACTTATAATGATCAAAATAGAGGTTATCAAAATAGAAATTATGATTATCAGAATAGAGGTTATCAAAATAGAAATTATGATTATCAAAATCGAGGTTATCAAGGTGGTAATTATCAAAATAGAAATTATAACGATCAGAATAAAAATTATAATCAAAATTATAGAGGTGGTTTTAATCAATATAATAGAAATTATAATAGTAGAGATAATTATAACAACCAAAGTAATAGAAACGGTGGTTATAATCGAGGGTTTATTTATTCAGGTTCTAATGGTAATAATTTTAACCAACCTAATGATAATCCACAAGGAGGTTCTAATAATAAGTTACTTGATTTTAATGATGATCGAGATCTTAAAAGTAAGGAAATTAAAGATGAAGAAACTAATTCATCTGAGTATAAAGAATACAACGTTCCTTATAAGTGAATTGTATAAAATAATGATTTGAATTGATGGTACTGGTTTTTGTTTTTAATAAATTATTCGTGTTTTATTAATTTTTATTTGTTTCTTTTAACAAACAAATTTTGAATATGACTTTTAACTTTATTTATTTATAAATTAATTACAACTAAAAAATGGAAAACATTTTATATTTTAGTATTTTTTTATTATCAATTAACCATTCTTCTTTTCATATAGTTGAATTAAGTATAATACTTATATCGTTGTACTTAACGATTAGTCAACTGCCTGATTTAGTCTTTCTGTTATTGTATAGAAAAAATAATTTTAAAAGGTTTTTTAAGATAAAGTTTATAGCTGTTGGAATAAACTTCATATTAAAAAACATTAATATAATAGGAATGTTGTTATTAACAGAGTTATTACTATTAAGAGTGAATGATAATAAATTCACTGTAAATTTAAGGAGAAAAATATTTCATTTAAGTGCTTTTTTCATCTTCTTAAATATAACAACTAACGAAATGAAGTTGTTATTGGGGTTGTTAGAGAATTTTTTGTTTTTAAGTGAAATTAAATACACAAAATACATTTTTAGAAAATTTTTATCTGATAAAGATTTTGGTAAAATAATATATTCACATATTTTTTTGGCTGGAGGTTGTATATTACCTTATTTTCACCTTAATAGATATGATTATACAAAAGTATTAATATCACTTTGCATTATGGATAGTTTTTGTTCAATAATTCCTTTATTATTTTATAAAATATCAATAAAAATAGCCTTAACTAATAAAAAGACAATCTTAAAACCCAACCAATCAAATAAGAAAACAATTTTAGGATTTGTTAGTGGACAATTAGCTAGTTATATAACAGAATACATGATATTTAACAAAGTAAGTTTATCTTATCACTTAGTTATGGGTATAATGGAATATAAAATAAGTCTAAATGATAATATTACACTTCCTTTTTTAGGAACTTTATATTTAAAGGCAAATAAAAAATGACTTTATTTCTTTTTAAAAAACATGTGATCTTCATAAAACTTGATGAGTTTTAAAGGTGCCTTATAACGAAGATCAACAACATCAATAGCTCCATGTGTACCATCATATGTGGTATAGGCTGCTTCAATAGTTCCATTTTCAGTCTTTTCTATCAAAGTTATTTTATCGATATAATTATCCCATTCGTTAGTTATTTTAGGTTGAAATCCAACAGAACTAGTCTTTTTAGTAGAACTTTTATTTTTAGTAGAATTGATCATCTTTGATTTCTTTACATTTTCAATCTTTTGAAAAGAAGCATCCTTTTTATCAGTTTTAACTGATAATTTTTTTTTAGATTCTTTATTTCTTTTATTAGATCTTTCATACTCAAATTTTACTTTATCACAGTACAAATTTTCTTCATATTCCCATGTGCATTCATCTAATGAATAACCAAGCCATTTAATCAAATACTGTTTTTTATTATTATTAATTCTATCATCTAGTATTTTCTCAACTTCATACACATCTTCAGAGGTTAAACTACTACTATCAGATTTTTGAATAGATTTATTTTGTTTGTTATTAATCGACATTAAATGGGTTAAGATTTTTAAAATTTTATAGATAAAAACTTAATACAAAGCAAATATAATTGACAGAACATGTTTAGAAGATAAAAAGCTATTAAAAATTTTAAATAATTTTTGTAACCCACAGATACTAAAAGATGGTAGAAAAAGATCTTTATTCTAAAATTTATTTAGCAAATAACACAATAGTTGAAATGTTAATTGATCGTGGATATAATCCCACAAGAACCACTTATGATACAATTGAAGACTTTGGACTAGAATTTCGTAATATATTAACTGAACCAAGATCACTAAACTTTGTAAGTAAGAAGGATCAATTAACAACTGCAGTTTATTTTAGTTTGGAAGAAAAGATACCAAAAAGTACATTAGAGGGTATTGTACAGAATAACATAAATGATGGTTGTAACAACCTCATTATTATTATGCAGAATAAATTAAATCATGCATGTGTTTCATACTTAAATTCAGTGAGAGCAAATATATTTGTAGAAGGATTTTTATTTAAT